GATCCCCTCTGAGTCTCCTCTTCTCCAGGCTGAAGAGACCCAGTTCCCTCAGTCTCGCCTCATATGGCATCCCCTGCAAACCAGCCACCAATCTTGTGGTCCTACGCCGCATTGACTCTAACCTGGCTATATCCTTCTTGTAACAAGGGGCCCAAAACTGAACACAATACTCCAGTTGCGGGCGCACCAGAGTCGCACAGAGTGGTAGTAATACCTCCTGGTCTAGAAGCCATGCTTCTGTCTATGCAACCAAGGGTGGCATTCATCCTCTTGAGCACTGTATCACTGTATCACTGCTGACTCATGTTTAGCCTGAAGTCAACCAACACCCTGAGATTCCTTTCACAAGGGATGCTCTCCAGCCACTTGTCCCCTTGCCCCTTACTTATGACACTCATTCCTATGCCCCAAGTGCAAGACTTTGCACTTATCCATACTGAAAGCCTACAGCACCCGGTATTCCCAGGCGGTTTCCCATCCAAGTACTAACCAGGCCTGACCCTGCTTAACTTCTGAGATCAGACGAGATCGGGCGCTTTCAGGGTAGTATGGCTGTAGACAAGTTAGAGACAACAATCCCAAGCATGGGACTTGGGTAGGCTTAATGTCATTAAGTTTAACTCTATACTAACTTTGCCTACCACAGTTAGCTCCTTCAGCCCCAGTACTCCCTGATCAGTCCACTGTGCCACTTATTAGTTATTCCCTAACACTGGGCTTTGCTTTTTAATGGATGCTTCTAGAGAGCAATCTGCAAATGTCACCACCCCTCCTCCACTCTCTATCAGCTGGGCATTGCTTTCTTTTATTCAGAAGGAAATGAGGAAAAGTAAGACCTCTGCTGAACCTCTAAAAAAAGAAAGCTCATTTAAAAGACCAATTTGAAACAGATTATAAGAAAAGCCCTGCTGATAACATGAAGGCTCCATCTAGTCTCCCATCCAGCTCCAAACAGTAGCCAGCCAACTGCTTCTGGAAAGCCTATAAACAAACAAGTAATGCCAGCTCTGTCCTCTTGTTCACTCTAAATATCTGGTATTCAGAAGTGCTCTGCCTCAACACATGGAGGATGCATTTAGCTATGATGGCCTGTCATCATGATACACAGATTTGCTTTCTTTTTAAAGCCATCTATACTTGTTCAATATTTTTATTTATTTATTTCATTGGTATCTACCTTTCTTCCAAAGAATCAAGGCAGGGCACACAATCCTTTTCACAACACCCCTGTGAGGTAAAGATTAAGTTGAGAGTCACACAGTGAGTTTCATAATCAAGTGGAGACTAGAAACCTGATCTCCCAAGTCTCATTCCAAGAATCTAACCACTACACCACACTGGCTCTCTTCAACCTGACCAGCTTTAGACAACCACAAAAAAGTAGATCAGGCCAAAATATTTCTTAGTTGCCAAATTTAAATGCATAGGATTTTATTGCACACCATGGTTTACACAGCAGTTTGGATATACAAGCATTCTATTCATGCTTGCTATGATAAATGCATGAAGGGTTAAACAGGAGATCTGAATGCCTGGCAAAGCAACACACACAAAAAAGGTAGCACCTCTAACAGCAAGCCAAATTGCACTGGGTGTAACACTCATGAAAATTCATTTCTATGACTGAGCACAGTTTGAAGCTTTGTTACTTTTCTTTGGGTCCCTTTCAACCTTTCAGTGCTGCCCAGTCTTTCCTCCTGTACAAATCAGGCTTTATATCAGATATATACTCACTGTACTCGCTATGATGAACAACCCAAACAAAAAGCCTTATTCCCAATGCTGAAGCTAAAGGGATTATTCTGCCATCATGATTGCAATCTCTACTAGCCCCCATCTCCAAGGATTGGAAAGAAAGCTTCCAGGTAGGGAATGAACATCAGAAACTAACTATATCTCTCTCTCCAGTAAGAGAGAGAAGTGGGAAGTTCCTGCAGGTGCTGTTTGCTAGTGGATCTCAGAGGGACAGTGTATCTGCACAAAATCTGCCTTCCTCTATCATAGGGGGAAAAGGCAGAGAAGGAAGAAATCTATAATAGGGTGAGGTAGAAGTATGCAACAAGGAACCTGGAGCACATCCAGGATTATGTTTGTGGTGGTGGTTTTTCTTTCCTAAAGAGAGCTAAGACTAATCTCTACACTCACTTACCTAGGAGTCAGCCCCACTAGACGCAATAGAACTTACATCCCAGTGACAAGTAGGAATGTAGTTTAGGATTCGGATAAATCACTTTTTGAAAAAACAAACCTGCCATAACAAAAATTCTCTGTTTGGACAACCGGTGATGTAACAAAAATCCTTAAATGTAAGCAATACAAGATATCTGATGAAAAGGCACTGTTTCTTGAGAGTGCTCTGTTTCTCTTCTAATGAAACAATCATCACTTGGGTTTTTTTTTTTTAATTTTTAGCTCAGACAGCTAAAAATAGCTGTCTATTTTTAGGGAAGACTTTAGGGGCTAACCCTTCACTTCTAGTACCAAAAGTATTTTACAAAGTAATTCTAAGCATGCTTACACAGAAAATAAGCTCCACTGTCCTCAATAGGGCTTACTTACAGAAAAGTGAGCATAGGATTACAGCCCTAGAGTTTTAAGGCAGGAGTAGGCAAAAACATGACAAGAGTGAAAGCCCATCATTCCCATCAATGGGTATCCTATCTGTGGTTGACAAAGTTACAGATGAAAACATCTTGAGGTCTGCAAACTGGTCACCCCTCTTTAACGCTACAATCCTATGGGCATGTCAGATTAACTCAACAAGCTTTGTTTCCAAAGGAATATGCATGACATTGACCTATAGTTGTGCCCCACAAGAACAACCCTGCAAGTCATGGAAATCCTGTGTTACAGATAGGGAACAGAAGCCAAGAACCAGATGTTTGATCAAGGCCTTCAATGTGCTAGTATCAGAGGTGAAACTGAAATCCTTGTTTCAAAGTTCAAGTATAGCTGCTTTCCCCTTAGAGAACACCAACAGTTTAACTATATATGTGTTGCAATAAGTATAGACAAAAATGTTTTGAGATGGCAGGTATATCTTAGAATCATAGAATAGTAGATTTGGCTATCAGGCCCAACCCCCTGCTGTTGCAGGATACCAATTTGTAGGACTTGAGCTCATTTGAACATGGAAATTGTTAAAAATAGTGAATCTGGTACAATGACAGATGCGGGTATTAATTCAAGCTGCTCTGTGCATACTTTTTGCATTTTTTTAACCAAAAGTATTTGTTTAATTTGTGTAAATTGAAAAAATTCCATTTCTCAGGGATGCTGTAGCTACATTCTGCACAAACGGGATGGGGTGGGGTGGATGGAATATATGATCTTCAAGATTCATTTCAGCTCCATGATTCAATTAAGTTGCTAACTTTTTGCAAGAATAAACTTTTAAAACTAGCAACTCTATAGTCAACAAACAAGAGCTTTTCTTCACCCAACATCTGGGAAGCTGAACTCTGAATCTGGGAAGCTGAACTCTGTGCTGAAGTTACACCACTACATTGGATGCATCCATTTCACGTCTGAGTGGGGAAATCCCATAAGGACAATGCACACTTTATGAAGAGATAAGAATACACTGGTATTTTATGACATAGCCATGAAACAGAGAGATGCAGTGGTGTCCTCAACACATTCTTGCTACCCAGAAAGCACACTGCAACATCCAAGTTACACAAGGAGATCAAGTGGACTGTTTTGGAACTGCAAGATGGTTGGGATCGTCTGATACCAGCAGCGTTGCTAAGTAATTTTAGACTTGGGTTTTAACAGGCTTATGGTGATAAATTTAGATAGTCCTGCTTATTGCTTTAGTTGTGAAGCGCTCAAATACATCGCTCTTTTAATTCCTTCTGTTACCAATTGCAGCACCCCAAAACACCCCAAAAATAATTGGCCAGAGAAAGGCCCCAAAAGTAGTTGGCCAGAGGAAGGCCACATAGTAAAAACACCACAGTTGTACTGTTCCAGAAGGGAGGGGGGATAAGAACAAAATGAACTTTGTGTAACCCACAGCTAACACGCTAGCCTGACCTCGAATACAGTAATCAAAGGGACAGTGGAAACTGGTTCTAGCTGCCATGAAAGTTGCAAATGTGCAGGGAGTAAGAACATGGCAAGCCTGTGTGAATCTCGAGCAGATAAGAAATAGACATGGGAAAATTTTGGTCCTTGACAGAAGAAAGGACTCTTTCTCCAGCACAGGAGGGGTGCATACATTGATGTATTGATGTATTAGATGTGTATTAGGTGACCTAATTGGTTACCTAGGGTATAAAATGCATGTACTGGGGTGCAACTTTTGAGACACTGCTTTGGGCTGAATGTCCCCTTTTGTCTCCCTTTATTCTATAGTGCACTAGAATAAAGCTGATTTTGGCTCTAAGTCTCGTCTCAGGCTCTGTTTGGCTCGGGTCTGGGGTCCACCTGGGTTTGCCCCAGCTGTTGACTGGCTCAGTCCGGTAACACTTCCAACTGCCACTTGGTAGAAGACAAACATTGGGTCTTCTACCTTCTTCATAAATTTTAACAAGAATAATGTTTTCAGCCTTAGTCAAAATTCATGATGATCCAAGCATCTGTAACTTTGCATTTTAAACCCATATAATCACATCATGATTATAGGAATGAAACGGATTATACTTTCAAACCGGTCACTTCCTGGGTGCTCATGGGGGTTGGGGCAAGCACTGGGCTGCGGGATCTTTGAGTTTGGCCTCAAGGTCTTGTCCTGGCTGTGCCACTACCTCATCCTCATTGTTCAAGGCGGTTATTTATTTCGCTCTTGCAGAACGAAAGAAATCACTCCCAGTTCTCAACCTCAAAGGCAGGCGGCTATAGGGTGTGGGGGGGGGGGGGCAGGGGGAGAAGAGAACCTGTGCCCCAGCTAGCCATACTGTAACACGCCGTCCTTTCAGCGACTCCTTCGACGCCTACCTCAACCGCCTCCTCCACCAACCGTCCCCCCCTCCCGCCCAAGCACAACTCCCTCTCACCTTGGTGTACTCGGACACTTCCTTCTCCTTTTCTTTGGGTATATGCGCCGGGACCGAGACTGAGGGCACCTGGATAGAGGCCACGGTGTTGTTACTCCCGCCGGAGGAGACTGCCCGAACCGCGCACCCCGGTAACCCCAGCAACCTTTGCAAGCCCGCAAGCCTTCTCAAGGCCGCCATGGTCAACAATGTAACCGGAAGCGGAAACTTGTAGCTCTTCACCCCTGGGAGTGAGCCGTAAAGGAGACGATAGGAAGGAAATATTTCTCGTTCCTCCTTCCCGGAACAGCGCCAGAAAGGGTCTAATTAACTCCGACGTCTGGAAGGGGCGGTGAATTTCGAGATCCCCGGAACACTTCAGTAGGCTGAATTTGAAGCAGGGAGGGAGGTAAGAGAGTGGGTGTTTCCTCGATTTCTCTTGGCATGATAAAAACAGCTCCAGCCCACGAAGTTACCTCATGTAGTCTGTTGAAGACTTCTAGCGAATTCGGGAGCTTATTATCGAACAGGCCTGAGATAGTTTATCGCTTGAGGAAGAACAAAAAAGCCACACATTCCCAGTGTGAGGATCAACTGCTGGCCTCTTGAATGTGGTTCAAAGCCCAGTTGCTTATCTACAGTTAAAAAAGAGAAGCTGGGAATAAATAGTACATGCTTCACCCGGCTTGTTTTGCAGATATGCTGTAATTCAGTACGGTATTGGTAATTAGAGCTGAAAGGCACGAATTTGGTGGGGAGCTGCCTTATGCTACAATCTCGTGGCCACTTACCTGGAAGTTAGCCCCTTGAGCTCAACGGGGCTAACTTCTGAATAGACATGTGTAGGGTTCCCCTGTCAGTGTCTTCTTTGGCCCGCCCATCTCTGATCACAGTGATTTACTTCCAAGCTACTCGAATCCAAAGAGATAAATTGTAACACTATCCAACCACGTCACCTTTAGGAGGAAGTAACTTGAGCATGGTCGAGCGGGGAGGGGCACTGAGACTTGTCCTAAAGAACGCTGATTGGCAGACCGCTTCCGCTGATCTAGTCATAGAATGGGCAGCTATTTGGGATGACACGGGCCAATAGGCGTTCTTTCGTAAGAAGCAGGGCGGGAGAACGCTCCGGTGTCACCGTCGACGACGGTGGTGACGACGAGAGTCTTGGGGGGGGAGGCTGCAGAGGCGCCGTCGCCGCCATTTTGTGAGGCGGGTCGTGTGGCGAGGCATCCCCGTTAGGGGTAACCCCCCCCCCCATCCGCTTCTGGCATTAGGGAAACATTGACCAGGTGAGCGAGGGTGGTGAGGAGAGGCCGGGCGCTCTGAGAAGGCGGGCCTCCACGGAGAGTTGAGACGGAAGGGGGCGGTCTGACTTTTGGCTTCCCCGCCGTGACAGGCCATCGATTTGGCGGCCTTAGAAGTGTGGTACTTCTTTGTGGTGGGCCTCGACCAGAAGAGGGTCCTAGACTTAAACGGCCGCACGGAGCCTTGCGGCGCGTTAAACAGCCAACGGATTTTTCTGTGGCGGAAGTTCTCGTGCTCTTGGAGCTCGCTCAGTCTGGAAATGTTTTGTTCGGCTCGCAGACACGGAGGGGGATGAAAATGATGGGCTTGCGAAAAGGCATGAACGTCAAAGCCGTCCAGGAGTTTCTTTTGTGGACTGAAGCCCACTCCCCCCAGGTGGGGGAAATGAAGAATTAAGCATTATAGCAAGCATTGGGTGCACTTATTTAGGGTGTATCTAATTAACTAAAAGCCCGATTAACTTTAATGTTAAGTTTAGAGAATTAGTGTAGTCTTAGCAAAACTAACATTGGCTACAACCTGTTGTTGGTACAAAGTGGGAAAACTGTAAAGATTGCTACTAAAAGCACCACGAAATGCAAGAGATGCTCTAGAGGCCTGTGACATTTCTGTGTATACCAGATAACAATAAAGAGTTGCAACACCTTAATTGCTAATAATCATACTAGAATATGTGGTATTTAAAGGTAAAATCCTATGCATGCTTATTTAGTTCTATTATATCTATCCTTTTTCCTGCAAACAGTATGGAGTGACTTACATAATCCTCTTCCTTTTCACTTTATCTTCCAAGAGCCCTGTGAGATAGATTAGGCTAAGAGTCAAAAGTCACCCAGTGAGCTTAATGTGAATGGTAACCAGAATCCAGATCACCTGGGTACCAGTTCAGTGCTCTAATCTCTACATCACTCTGGACAGTAAACTACTGTGCTGGGAGTTGTAGGACTTTTCTTCAGTCTAAGCATGTATCAAATTGTGCCCTAATTAGGGTAGTAACACTCCAGTGACTGACACAAGTTTTCTTTACCACAGCAGACTAAAGGTATCTCTCTGGAAGCTGAAAGTGGTGACCATTGACAGCCACAATAATTGCTGAAACCCCAGTTTTACTAACTTCGCAGGTTAATTCGAGAACTGTAGTGAAAAGGACTTGATTAAGACCTAAATTAAAATAGTTCAGTTTTGCTGGTAAAGTTTGCCTCAGTAAGTTTGTGCTGAATGTTCCTCTAAAGCATTTTTTTAATTAAAAGATAATTAGTTTCTGTTTGGCAAGGACAGCTATGCTTGAAACTGTATTGCCTGATATATTAAATGCTTTGAGGCTTTGTATATGATGGATAGTATCTAGTTAAACTTCTTTCTTAAGGAGGTGTAATTGGCTGGTACTATTCATTTAACCCTATGGGTCATATATTATTACAAATGCTGGTTTTATGGTTTAAAGCAGTGTTGGAGGACCAGAGGTCAGCCAGGAATTGTTGGGCTAGAACTTCCCATCAGCTTCAACCAGTATGACTAACAGTCAAGGAGTCTTCTTCTGACATTGTAACCCAGCCTCCTCCAATCTGATGTCCCCCAGGAGTGCTGGACTGCAGTGTTCATCATCTCACCCAACATACTTAGTGACTAAAGGTTAACAACGATGGGAAATGGAATCAAACATCTAGAAGGTATCAAGTTGGGGAAGGCTTGTCTAACCTCTGGTGAATTAAACATTTAAGCTCGTAATGTGCTTGTTAGTACCAAAGGTGAAGCTAGAGATACCTCATTAGTTGGAAGATTACTGTGGTGTAGTATATCCTCCTTTGCATGTAACTTCTGTAAACATTGTGGCAATTTTCACTTTTCTATTAGGCTTTTCATATAGTTTAAGAAACCCAGTATATTAATAGCTCCAGAATCATTATATGGTCTCTCAAAATACTGACTTAACCTTCAAAGTCATGCTGTGTGATAATAAAAATGTGTAAAGCTATTTACCTAGCAGAAGTGTCCTGCTTTTCTATTCTTAACTTGATGTTAACTAGAATATTTTTAATTACAGCTTCAGTTTGGCAGAGTTAGCAGGATGTGTTTCTCTGTGTTGATTGTTTGAAAGCAAGCATTTTGGGCTACTATGAGAGCTTTGTTTGGCAGCAGGGGTATGCAACCTTATTTGCCCCCAGTGTTCAACACAAGTTTCCATAAGCCAAGCCAACATGACCGATGCCCAGAAACAGAGTGCTGTACTCCAGAACACTTGGAGGTCACCAGGTTACCTACCCTTGTTCAGAATCTCATTGTAAGGGAGATGAAAGAAGAAGCTTTTAGATTAGCTGTAACTTAGTAAGGGACAATAGTTTTCTTAGTTTAAGGGTCTTAGATTCCTGTTTAATGTGGGGAATAAAATTGAGTAGTTCACGAGCTACAAATTATTTTTCTGTCTTTGGATTTAGTGACAAGCTAATTTAATAGTTAAGGATCTGCATTTAGAAAATCTTCTTTCACATGGGCTTCAAACCTGATATGGTTCCCTGTCAGCAAGGGATCATAAACAGAGACATGGGCCCATTACAAGCAATGTTAAGCTTGTCACACTAGTAGGCTTTGCCTCTACTTGAGACCAAATCATATGTACCATATGTTAAAGGTTCATTTACATTGATATTCTGTAATGTGATACATACAATTGTAGCTCATTGGTTTACATAGAACAAAGTGCTCAGGCTCTCCATAAGAAATAAACCCATAGAATTGCAGACTAAAATGCTAAAACACAGAAAATAGTAGGTCAATGTTTCACTTTCTTGAAGCACTCTCATGTTTAATTCCAAGATTACTATGCTTAAACAAAAGATTTTAGGAAAGTTGTTGATCTGAAAGTGAAACCTCTGGCCGAGGTTCCAGGGGCATTTTTGCAGCTCTGGAGCAAGAACTGGAAGGGAAAAGGAGCAGTTAAGTTCCTGCCTCTGGTACCTGAGGACCAATTTCTCCACTGCAATTTGCAGCCTCTCTCCCTGGCCTCACACCACTTGGGGCTGGCAGTGACTATTTGTCAATGATTCAGATTGTTGGACAGCAGACCTAGATGTGAATTTTGTCTGCTACAGCAGATTAACCCAGCTTCTCTTCTAAACGAATATTTAGGTACTGCAGTGTTTTCATATAGCTGTGTTGATAAGTGATGATAAAAATATCCTAGCAATCATCCTTAATAACAAACAATGTGAAATTATTCCAAACAAGTAGAATATGCAGGCTTTTATTGTAAGCCCTGCATTTTAACATGCATTGTGATATTAAGGATAACGGATAATTTTAAAATGCAATTGCTTCCTTCAGAACAGATTCTTATAATCAATCTATGTTACTACCTCCTTTCCCAAATAAAAGTAGTCAGGTTTACTATAAGAAGAAAATCCAAAATCCTCACTGGCATAATTATTAAGCCTAATATAGGTATTGTACTGCTATGGATTTTAAAATTGTGTCGCATCCCAGCTATTTAAAACCAGTGACCTTACTTTGGTTTACGTTTTCCTATTCTAGCTGGTTGTGAAGAACTTATTTCTAATAAATGTCTTTAGGTAAAATAGTAATTTCTGTATGTGAGTGTATTTAACCACATGTGTGCACAATCTGGCCAAATAGTTTTAATTTGGCATATGCTAGCAAAAGAAAGATACTAGTATTAAGGCACTTGTAGAGAGAATGGCCAGTTTGTAATTTTCTGTTGTTTCAGTTGTGTTCTTTCCTGTGTGTTGTAAACTCACATGACTGTCTTCTTTTTTGCAAGTGACTACTGACTCTAAGAAATGTAATTAATTTTAGGGTGCAGTGCGAGAATGGGGAAGAACACTTCCCATATAAAGAATTTTTCTGTTTACTGTATTTTTGTGTTGAGGCTCAAAATGCTTTAGATCCATAAATTTTTTAATTCTCTCAAACCTCTGAAATACAGAAGAGTATTATCCCTCACACAATAATATTATCAAGGTCATATAGCCAGTTCATATAACCAGACGATTACATAGGAATATG